CCTCTCCCTGACAGGGTCTCGCTCTGTTACCCAGGTTGCAGTCTCAAACTCCTAGGTTCTAGTGATCCACCTGCCTCAGTCTCCTGAGTTGCTGGGACTACAGGTGTGCATTACCATAACTGGTTTTTAATTTTTTATAGAGATGGGATCTTGCTATGTTTCTCACGCTGGTCTCATACTCCTAGACTTGAGCAATCCTTCTACCCTGACTTCCCAACGGGCTGGAATTACAGGTGTGAGCTATAGGACCTGGCCTGCTTTGTACTTTTCTACAGGACTTAGATTTTATATAATAATTACAGATATTTTTTACAACAGCAGTAGTCATTCTAAACTTCTTAAAATTAAGCAGTGATTAAGAATGAGCTACAGAAAGTAGTATTAATTCAGCACTAGATATTTTGCATATAGCGGATCACCTAGTCCACATATCAAGGCGAGAATTATCATCTTTATTTTCCAAGAGACAAAACTGTGGATTACAAGCATTTGTTAACTCTAGAGATACACAGCTGCTGCCAAAACAATTGCCCCCTTTTCAGCAGCCTGCCCCCTGCTGGTTTTATCAAATTCAACCCCCCATTTCCTCCCCAACATTTGTGCACAAGAATGTTCACACACACACACACACACACACGTTTCTGCTATATTCCATCTGTGTAGGCCAGGAACTTGTCATGACAAACCAAATGCAGTATCTATTTCCTGACCAAAGCTGTTATTCAGTATCTCTATGATTTGAGAAATAATTTGATTTCACCCTGACAAAGACTACAATGAGGTCTTAACAGGAGTAATTAATTACAAACCATCCTAGCCTATGTGAAAGTGTGTGATGTTCAGATATATCCAGCCCTTTGAGATGCTCTGTTGGAAGATGGTTGAGGTGCAAAGTACTGTTGACTCATGGTCATCTTGGTACATGGTCACTAATAATGACAGTTTGTACTTCTTTCGTGTTTGTGCTAAGGGTGGTTTCAAAACCTGGAAGAAGCTTATCAATTTCTAGGTATTCAAATATCTCTTTCACAATATATATGTGTGTATG